ACTCCCTCCAAATCAAATGTGCAATTTATTTGATGATTTGCCATCAAATTTAGTCAAAACTGATAAAATGTAATCGGGTCCACCTTCATAATGCACGGAAGGAGTCCAACAAAAACCGTGAATTTGAAGAGGATTTACTGCACTAGTGTTTGAAGCATTCACACTTTCACTATGACACCAACATTTGGAGTTGTCTCTGCATACTGATGCTTCCTACACCCAGGCGCAAGGCTCCATCATTTAAGAGATTGGTAAAAGGCACGATTTTCTTTGGTGAAGTGTGTTTTGGGGCAGGTCAGCTTAGGTAGGTAAAGTGTCCTCCCTAATCCCCAGAGGATGTGACCCCCAAGCCCACATTGGATGCTTGATGTCATGGACAGTACTGAGCCTTGCAGTTTACGCTTTTCTTATAAAAACTTGCCTATGGTCAATTGTATTTATAAATCAGGCACACTAACCATGGGAATAATAAAGTAAAGCTATTATAACAACAGACTGTAGTAGAAGTTACATGAATGTGGTCCTTTCCTCCCCAAATATCTTACTTTACAGTACTCACCAATTTTTGGATGACAGCTGACCATGAATAACTAAAACTATGGGAAGAAAAACCAGGGATGGGTGGGGGGGACTCCTGCATACATGGGAAGTTGATAATATGAATATAGCTTTAATTAATATCCTCCTTGCTGTGTGCCCCTTGGCAAGTCAGTCTGGCTTGAAGATCTCTGTTATAGCACTTACTGGGTATGAGTTCTATGTGGTAGCAATCATTCCAGGTGGTATCGTACAATCCAGAGAAAATCCAGTGAGGCCAAGTCCCTGCTAAGAGACCATTGCTCTACTTCTTGTGCAAATAGACAGCACCATAAATCACTACATTATGAGACTCTCACTGTTTGATCATGGTCCTGAGAGGTCAGCTGGTTAGTGTCCTAGCTTATAAAAACATAAAATATGTCTACTATCAAAGCCAACATCCAGAGACTGCTAGATGAAAAAGTTCGAGGCTTCTATCAAAGATAGCCCCCCCCCCCATTTAGGAGACTTGTGCTGGTTTGAGTTTATCTTTCCTGGAATCTGGTGTGTGGTCAGTGGTGCATGTGCCCACATGCACATGCATGCACACACACACACAGACCCACATACACACATTATCAGCATCACTCATCCTGGAGTTTGGTTCATGGCAGTGTAGAATATCTCTAGAAGAGGGGCTGTGGTAGTGATATGGCTAGAAGAGCAGTAAAGCTGCACCTGCAAAGTTGATGCCGTTTTGTTTTGTTTGTTTGTTTGTTTGTTTGTTTTGGAGAGGTATTTGCTATAGGGCACGTGCGCTCTCCAGAAAGAGAGAGAGAGACAGAGAGATAGAAAGCAAGAAATCACCCCCCACCCCCAGGGGTCTGGCCGCACTGCAATCCCTTCTCCTCCATTCTCCTCTGGGGATCTTGGGCATGCATGCACACGCGCCCAGCGTAAGTTTAAGCCACTGGGTCCAGGACTTGAACAGCGGTCGGCCACATGGGAGTTCAGTGACATAGCCATTATGCTAACTGCTGGCCCCAGTTGATGCAGTTTTTGTTAGTGAGTATGCTAGGGTGGCTTTGGAGAGTACTGAAACAGCAGCCAGGCTTGGTCATAGCCTGGATCAATGTGATTTAGGTAGCCCCAAACATGCTCACTGAGGTCTTACATCTTCATGGGGGAGGAGAAGGGAGGGGATTATACTAATTGCTTTGGGGAAGTTATCCTTGGCTACCAAGAATAACAAGCATGATGTCAGTCCTAGGTTGTACAGTCTCTGGGCAGATGTCCTTAGAGAATTGATCCTTGTGTCAGGTTACAACAGTCTTTGTGCAAAGTCATGGTTCTGGTAAAGTTCTTCAGATAACAGTTCATGCTGTGCTTTTCTTATACAAACAAGCCTATGGCCAATTTGATGCCAGGATGGAAAAAAACACCTCTTCCATGGCCTTTCCAGCTCTGTTTTGCTAGGAGTGACACAAATGACTCCATTTCCAGGACTTACTTGTCTAAAAACATTTCAAAAATTCTGATAGATTTTGTAAAACCCCAATACAAGTAGCTCAGGAGACAGAGTAGTTGCTATAAATCCAAAGAGAATGCTTATTACATATATTAAATATTAAGCATATATACATATATGCATATTAACACTTAGTATTAGGTTGGTGCAAAAGCAATTGTGGTTCTGAACCATGAATTTTAATAAAGATTTAACAAATCTTTATTAATCAAGCTAGGAACCATTACAATCTACACATTTTTGTCAACATAAGTAAGTTTGTTGATTCTTGTAGCATAAAAATCCAGGTTTCAGGATTTGACGAACTCTTGGAAAGCAACTTCTGCATCCTGCTGTTGTGGAAGCATTTTCCCTGCAAAAAAGTTGTTGAGATGCTAGAAGAAGTGGTAGCTGGTTGGTGAGAGGTCGGGTGAGTGTGGCAGATGAGGCAAAAGCTTTGTAGCCTAATTCATTCAACTTTTGAAGTATTGACCATGTGACATGAGGTTGCATGCTGTCGTGGAGAATAGTCGGGCCCTTTCTGTTGCCCAGTGCCAGCTGCAGGCATTTCATTTTTCGGTGCATCTCATCAATCTCCTGAGCATACTTCTCAAATGTAATGGTTTTGCTGGGATTCAGAAAAGTGTAGTGGATCAGACTCCACCAGTGACCATGACCTTTTTATTTTTGGCGAGAGTTTGGTTTGGGGAAGTTGGAGCTTCTTCTTGGTCCAACCACTGAGATGGTCATCACCAGTTGTATGAAATCCACTTTTCATCGCATGTCACAATCTGACTGAGGAATTGTTCATCATTAATGCATAGAATAAAAGAAGATGACACTTCAAAATGATGACTTTTAAAAAATTTTTGGTCAGCCTACAAAGCACCCATTTATTGAGCTTTTTCACTTTTGTATTGCTTCACATGCCAAAGACTGTAGAATGTTGAAGTTGAGTTCTTAGTGGCTTCTAATGTGGCTTTAAGAGGATCAGCTTCAATGATTGCTCTCAATTGGTCATTGTCAACTTCTGATGGCCGGTCACCACATTCTTTTTTTTTTTGGAGAGATTTTCACTGTAGGGCGCGTGCGCTCGCCAGACAGACAGAGAGAGACATAGAGACAGAAAGCGAGAAATCACCCCCCAGGGGGGATGGTCACGCCGCAATCCCTTCTCCTCCATTCTCCTCTAGGGATCTTGGGCACACACGCGCCCGGCGTGAGTTTTAAGCCACCAGGTCTGGGACACGAACGGCGGTCGACTACGTGGGAGTCCAGCGACATAGCCATTACGCTAACTGCTGGTTCCCACATTCTTCATCTCTAAGGCTCTTGTTTCCTTCGCAAAACTTCTGGAGCCACCACTGCACTATATGATTGCTAGCAGTTCTTGGGCATTGTTGACATTGTGAGTTCTCTCCGCTGCTTTATGGCCCTTTTTGAATTTAAAAGAAAGTTGATCAAGTTGCTTTTTGTCTAACATCATTTACATAGTCTAAAATATATATATAAAAATAGCAAGTAATAAATCATTAGCAAAAAACACAAAGTGAGAAATGTGCATTAAAGTGATGTATAACAAAACCACATTTATTTAAGAATGTATTCAATATCAAATGGCAAATTTCAACAATGAAAAACCATGGGACCAGCAGTTGGCGTAATGGCTATGTCACTGGACTCCCATGTAGTTGACAGTGGTTTGAGTCCTGGACCCAGTAGCTTAAACTCACACCGGGTGCGTGTGCGTGCGTGCCCAAGATTCTGAGAGGAGAAAGGAGGAGAAGGGATTGCGGTGTGGCCATCCCCCCTGGGGGATGATTTCTTGCTTTCTGTCTCTCTGTCTTTCTGGTGAACGCATGCGCCCTATAGCAAAAAAAAAAAAAAAAGAAAAAACCTCTCAAAAAAAAAAAAAAAAGAAAAACCACAATTACTTTTATACCAACCTTATAACAGATAAACCCTGAAATGGTAAAGTGAGAAGATAAAATATAGATCAATAATATAAAAATAGGGCCAGCTGGTGGCATAGTGATTAAGATAGCTGAATCCCACATAGCCAACTTCATGGTTCAAGTCCTAGGACCCCTACCCCAACCCTGGGGCTTGAAAAATAGGCCAAGTGTGTGAGTGTGCATGCCCAAAAGTCTCAAGAGGAGAGTGGAGGAGAAGGAATTGCCACCGGGCCAATCTGGGGGGTGATTTCTCACTCTCCTCCCCTCCAGTGAGCATGCACTCCCTATAGCAAAAACTAAATAATAATAATAATACAAAACAGCAGAGCATAGTACAATTAGTTGATGCTCTTTGTGTTAAGGTACAGATTAGATGTTATCTATGTGGCTCAAGACTCATTCTGAGGTATGTCATCAGTTCTCTAAGAGAGACTGCATAACAATAGTAATGACAACCATATTAATGTATTTAGTATTGTTCTTACGAGCATATTAAAAATGTATCTTAAAGGGCTAGCAGGTAGCTTAGTGGTTAAGGAACTGGACTCCAACGTGGCAGACTGCGGTTCAAGTCCTGGGCCTGGGAGCTTGAAACTCACTCTGGGCGCATGTCCGTGTTTGCCTAAAATCCTGAGAGAATGGCAAAGGGATTGCAGTGTGGCCCTCCTCCTTGGGGGATGGTTTCTCCCTTTCTGTCTCTCTGTCTCTCTGGCAGCCACATGCACCCTAATAACAAAAATCTAAGAGAAAAAAAAGTATCTTAAAAGGAAAACACTGGTAGCATGAAGCAGTTAATAAATATTTGTTGACAAAATAAAGACATGAACTCTGTCCTCAGGCTTGGTTTAGTGCCCATCAGAAGCTGAGCAGGGAGAAGCCAGAGGCAGTCGAGGGCTTGAGCTGCCCTCACCGTGGAAATAGGCAGCATCGTAACTGCCAGTCATGATGACTAACTGAATTTCTTGAGCCACGTTAGTTGTGTATGAGTTCTAAAAAGAAAATGTCTGTTCTTGTTTCAGGCCAGTTGCTTAAAAGCCATCTGGAACCAGAGATTTCTGGGAGTGGTCTGCGGGGCTGCCCAACTCCTTTGCTTCAGTGTCCTGATCTCTGGTAAACGTCATATAAATCTTCACCGGGTGCTGGGTAGCTAGGGGAGAGCCTGGCCCAAAAGGGAAAAGTTAATGGTGGCAGAGGCGGAGTGGTTGTGAGGAGGGGAAAGCTGTCAGGGCTCAGAGTGCTGGAAGGGAAATACAGCGGCACCACCGCATCAGCAGAAAGGGCTCCAGAAAGAACTTACACTGATGTGTTGAGAACTGACCCACTAAGCACAGGCCGCAGTGCTGTTAGGGAACCGCAGGCTGTCTGAATGTCTTTAACACAATCTTCATTGACGTCAAAGAAAATGTTAATGTATCATATTAATATATCCATCTTTACACCAGTGCAGTTGCAAAACATGTTTTTTAATATGTTATTATGGAGGAAGAGACCTAGGAAGGAGAAATTGCCGGTGTCCATGAAACTTGTAATGCGGCCCTGGCTGTATCAGAATGAAGTTTTAGGAAGGGAAGAACAAGCCTCAGAGGGGTCAGAGAGGGAGTTCTGACCTGACTGACCCTCAGACGGGCAGTGGAGGAGCTTTAAAAAACAGGAAGAGAGCTATTTCCAGGCCAGGCTGCTTGTACCATACATCCCTTCACACTGGAATGGGGCTCTTCTGCCCGGGTGAGCTCCCACGGGCTGCAATAACAATGCTTGGCCTCGCGGTGCCTTTGTACCCTTAAAGGCACGCTCAATTTCACTTGATATCACAAACACTGTGAAGAGGCTGTTTGAGCCCTATGTTAGTAAGCGAGTAGGCAGACATGGAGGGAGTAAGGGTATTTATCAAAGAGAAACAGCCAAGAGAAGAGTGAGCTTAAGCCTACAAATCAGATCTGATTTCCAACCCTGGCTCTGTTGCAAACCTGCTGTTGCACCCACTCAAGGAGCATCTGCCGAATGTCAGTGACCAAGGTCTATGTTTGGTGCTAAGGATTCCAAGCTAAAAAGAGACTCCCCTCAGGATTCACAATCCTGCAGATTTGAACCATGTCAGAGAACGTGGCCAGACTGCGTGGCCATAATAGTGGAGGAGAGAGGGTGAGGTGGCGGCAAAGCCTACCCCGGGAGTCATGGAAAGTGGGAGAGTGAAGTTTACCAGGCGTAAAGGGCAGGCGGCCGGCATAGCAGGAAGTGTGAAGCATGGCCGTGCCAGATCTGTTTTGCTGGGAAAGTAAATCTGGGGTGATGGGGCTGGGCCAACAGGTAGGCTTCGTCTTAAATCCTCTCATTTTCCATGTGAAGAGGTAGAACCCGACATTGAGACATTTTATGTCATTTAATTGGGGATTGGAAAGTGACTTGATGTCTCCCTTATTTATAAAAGGAGAGAAGTGAATTAGATCAGCGTTATTGTCCCCTCCAGCTCTGGGATCTCATGCTTTCTAATCACTAACACTGAGAATCCGCCAAAGAGCACATTTCCTATCTTGCCTTCATGTACACTTTCAGTGAAAGATGAAAGCCACTCTCTTCCCTTAAAAACAACCACATCAGACATCAAACAGCCGTGCTTCGGGTATTCGTCTTCCGGTCAGAGACACACCTGCCCACCTAGAAGCTCGCTTACCACCACAGCCCCCTTCTGGCTAGGGATGCTAATCTGGCCCTCCCTCTCCCTGACAGAGCTAACGAATCAGAAGGAGGTGTCGGCGTGGACCTACAACTACAGCGCAAAAGCATACTCGTGGAATTATTCCCGGGCCTTCTGCCAGAAGTACTTCACCGATTTAGTGGCCATTCAGAATAAAAACGAAATCGCTCACCTCAATGACGTCATACCCTACCACAGTTCCTACTACTGGATCGGGATCCGGAAGATCAATGATCAGTGGACCTGGGTGGGAACCAAGAAGACACTCACCAAGGAGGCCGAGAACTGGGCCGACCACGAGCCTAACAACAAGAGGAACAACCAGGACTGCGTGGAGATCTACATCAAAAGCGAGTCAGCCGCTGGCAAGTGGAACGACGAGCCGTGCTGGAAGAGGAAGCGGGCGCTGTGCTACACAGGTAGGCCCTCCCCGTCGGAACGCCTGGTTGGTCGGCGTCACCTCCGAGTCAGTGTTATAGGGTGGCAAAGTCAGGCACCTGGAAACAATCTGTCAGCATTATTGAGCATCTTGAGAAACAGAAGACAAGGGTTAAAGAAAATAGGCCTCTTAAATTAGAGAAAAAGGTGTGTTCTTTATGAGACAGAGAGGGAGGAAAAGGGGGTCAGGCGAGAGACAGACAGCTGTTTCTGACAGGGCCTCTCTGTGTCATGATTCTCTTCTACCGGGAGTATAGCACACAGTTGTACCTGGAGTGTTCAAGTTGGCTTGGGAACAAGCCTGTGCCTCCCGTGTGGTTTCCAGCCTCCCAGGCAGGGCTGCTACCTCTGTGCTGCCATAACTGGGCCTAGAGGGAAATTTTAATATTATCTGGCCCACTCTTCTCATCCTGTAACTGCTGAACGGGGCATTCAGGAGGTTTTGGTTTCTCGAACTCATGGAGCAGGACAGAGCAGAGTTAGGAGAGAAATCAGTGTTCTAAAGTTTAGGCGTAGGACTTTTTTTTTGCCACTATGCCCTAGTGTAAGGAGAGTATAATCAACAGAAAACTCAGCTCCGCCGCAGAGAAGAGTCATAACTGATCTATTGAGTGCCACTGTGTTCCGGGCATTGTGAAACTGGCTCATTTAGTTCTGTGTCATTTCTTCATTTGGTATTAGTGAAGGTTAGTCCCCAGGACAGCCCTGTCAACCTCGGCCTTCCATTATTTGTATTTTGCTGATGAGTGAATGGCTCAGTGCTATTACATAGTGTGCTCAAAGTTCTCCACTAGTCGACGCTGGAGTGTTTCAAACTCATGTCGACGCCAAAACTGGTGTCCTTTTAGCCATATGGGCAACTACATTCTTGTTTTACATTTTCATGAGACAATTCGAGAACATAACTGGGGATCACAAATGCTTTACACATTGTCAACAGCAGCAAATTTGGACATTGGTGGGTGGGGGCCCAGGAAAAGAGAAGGGTCAGTTGAAGGTGAGATTCTGTGAGTATATTTCATTCTCAGCTCTCCCAAGTCCAGGGCATCAGCTCCTCTTCCACCTTCCCAGCCAGCTGTCTGCCTCTCTGGGCATCTATGCCTCCATAGAACCATCTCCTGCCATTGTTTCTCCTCTTCACCCAACCTTCGACATCCATTTCTGAAAGACGGTCCACTCAGTAGTGCTTGCAAAACATTACAGGGCAGAGAGAGATGATGGAGAATTCCCGGCGTCAGCGATGTCACTCCTCTGACCTGCAGTAGTGGCAGATGTCACTCACTGGGACAGCTGCACCTGAACACAGACGGTTCCAGCTTCACCAGCACAATACCGCAGTTGGCAATTTGCCATCTGAGATGTGGGGGATGGGGAAACCATGGCTTCCCTGTGGGAGGCAGATGAGAAGTTGACATGTCCTCTACAACAAGAAGTTCAGTCCAATTGTTAGAGTAATTCTTTGAATGTCATGATTTGTTAGGCCGCAGTACAGGGTACCAAGAGAAAGAGATTAATTCACTAAATCTTCATCTTTCTCCTGTGGACAAGGTACACAGGAGAAATCGGGGACAAGACAGAACACTGGTTGTTTTTTTGTTTTTGTTTTTTCATTTCTTGAATTCTGAGACCCCAAAAAAGATAAATCAGGACAAAATGAAAGAGCCCCAAGAGCATAAGGCAGGCAGGAGTTGCTGCTGTAGGCACAGCTGGGGCCAAGGTCAGGGGCAGGGTGAACAGAAAGGGATGTGCAGCCGAAACCTGCATCCTCTAGTTGTTCGTCGCTTCCTGCATCTTCTCCTTCCCTGGAGCCCTTGCCAGTGCTTCAGCCCAGCTTCACAAACTCCCTGTGTGCTGTAGGGTCCTGCAGACCCTTGCATGGTTTTATAGCCCTGCGGGATCTCAGAGTTGAGAGGGAATGTATTAAAATTCCCTCTTGTGATATACCTGAAGTGGACTGACACCAGAGATCAAGCAGGCCATAGCCTTTGTCCCCAGCCACGACTCCATTACAGAAGCATGCCTGGTGCTTTCATAGTACCTGTTCTAATGCTGGCCGTCCACCGCCCATCACCCAGGGGACATAGGAGGCCCGTGATGTTTGCACCATGGAAGCCTAGTGTATACAGACCTGCAAGCCATCCCTCATAGAATTGTCAGTCCTTTACTATGAGTAGGTCTTAACCATCTCACCTGGCTCCTCTGCTTCTCCACTGTGGGGCTTCGGGCATAGACTGGAAACAAACAAAAGGTGGAAGGGTTCGGGCCTCACATTCAGCAAGCTGGGCTCAGAGGACTGACTTGCCCAGGGTCACATTCAGCACGTGTGACACCGCCCCAGCTGAGGTTCCTGTCCTCTAAGCTGTACTGTCTGCCAGGGGCTTCCATATAGCTCTATAAGTACTCTTGGTGAGGAAACTGCAACTGATGTCGTATCACACAGAGGAGGTTCTCCATCCCCACATCCATCGGTGGCTCCATCTGTCCGTCTGTGTCCACGCACAGCAATGCCCACTTCAGGATATACTACGTGTAGCATCACATGGGAGCTGCATGAATCTCCCGTGACTCCTACAGCACCGTGTGCAGGGGAGGGGCCAGCTGTCCACATGACGCTAGGGCTCCTTGTGTCTGGCTAGCTAGGGGGACGCAGCTTTCCTGTGCACTGCCCGGGAGTGCCCTGATTCGGCCGTCTGTCTCCACGCAGCCTCCTGCCAGGACACATCATGCAGTCAGCAAGGAGAATGCATCGAGACCATCGGGAGCTACCGCTGCTCCTGCTACCCTGGATTCTACGGGCCCGAGTGTGAGCATGGTGAGGCTGCGATTTTGTTGCAATTATTTTAGTCGCTGGACTTAGCTAGAGATGATGCTGGAAGTGAATTGTGCAGGGGACCCCCGATGAGTGGAGACGAGTCCTCGGCCTCCCCTCCATCTGTCTGCCCACTCACATCATCCTCCCCTCCCCCCACCCGCACACTCTAGAGAAAAGCATTTTATTCTTAGAACGTTTGCTCATAAAACTTTATATGGAGAAAGGAAAATGCAGATGAAGCAAATAGAAAGTTTTCACCCTAAGTTGACTTGTTTGAAGCGGAAGCAGTGAGGCAGTGCTGACTCCCTGGCATGCCCCAGTTCCGAAGGACCAAGTGAGGATGAAGTGCTTGGGTGAGCGGCCCAGAAAGGTGGGTCAAGGGTTGCACCCATGATGTCCTGATGTCCACAATGAGAAAACTGACGTTGTGTCCCTGCAGTCAGAGAGTGTGGAGAACTGGACCTCCCGCGGCACGTGCTCGCGAACTGCAGCCACCCCCTGGGAAACTTCTCGGTCAGCTCGCAGTGCAGCTTCCGCTGTGCCGAAGGGTTCCGGCTGGATGGGCCCAGCAGGCTGGAATGTTCCGCTTCTGGAAACTGGACGGAGATGCCCCCGCAGTGTGTAGGTGCGTAGGCCTTACCCTTCCCGCCGTTGCCGACGACCAGAATTTCAGGTGTGGTGGAGGAGGAGCAGAAAGGAGCCTTCTCTGCTAAAAACCATGAGAACCTACCTTAGAGGGAACATCCTGGTCATCAGTGTCACTTGACAACAGGAGTAACGCTCGATTTGATTCTCATAGTATTTTTTTATATCGAGTGTGGTCATCAGTTGCCAGGAGGGAGGAAGGGCCCCTTTCCTTTGTTAATTACAAATGAACAGAGAACAGTGATGAGGACTTAAGGGTCAACCATTATTAGTTTGATAGTTTTACTTTGCTTCTTAAATGAAAAGCAAAGGCGTTTGGATCGTCCCAGACAACCACTGAAAGTGCCATTTCACCAACTGAGGGCATCGCTTTGAGTGTGGGGAGGCAGAGCCGCTGCAGAGCCCGGGCTCCCAGGGTTACAGGGCAATCCGCCCAAGGACTCACACCTCTGCCCCACGGTTGTTTGTAGCTGTCCAGTGTCCACCCCTGAAGACTCCTGAACGAGGAAGGTTGACCTGTCTTCCCTCTGCTAAGGCCTTCCAGTCCTGGTCTAGCTGTCGCTTCAGTTGCGAAGAAGGATTTGTTCTAGTTGGGCCTGAGGTGGTGCAGTGCACAGGCTCTGGGGCATGGACGGCCCCGGCTCCGGCGTGCCAGGGTGAGTTTCAGGCAGCTGGGGTGGATGGTGTCCACTGCCCCTGTCCTCCCTGGAAGTGTGGATGATAGCGGCCAGCTTACAGAGAAGCCAGAAGTTAGCTGTCCTTCCACGGCCACTTGTCTAGACTGGCATGGCTGGGAGGGGAAAGGTGACAGACTCTGGAAAAACTCAAAGATCATTTTGTTCCCTTAAAAACTCGCAACCCACAGCAGTTTCGGGATAGGCTCACTTAACACATTTCACATGAGAGGAGAAAGTAAGCATTTACATCACAGGCTACAGGAGACACCCCAGCGCGGCAGGTTTATCGCGGCACCAGGAAAGGAGCACCTGGTGGAGTCCGAGCCTTTAAGAGCCCAGGTCGCCCAAGGGCTGGCACTCTCAAGTCCGGTCAAACACAGGAGGGCCTCCTGCCCGGTCTTGCCAGCTCACCTCCATTCCCAGAGGGCTCCTGCTCGCCGTCTGTGGGTGGGGCTTTTCTCCTTCCCCGTCCCTTTCTCCTGCCTTATCCTCACTGTCCTCCCCAGCTGTGCAGTGCCAGCGCCTGGAAGCCCCCGACAAAGGGACCATGAACTGCGTTCACCCGCTCGCGGCCTTTGGGTACGGCTCCAGCTGCACGTTCGGGTGCCAGGCCGGCTATCGCGCCAGGGGGTCAGGCACCCTCCGCTGCGTGGGCTCCGGCCAGTGGACAGCGCCCCCGCCGGCCTGTGAGGGTAGGCGTTTCCTTTATTGGCCCTAGTCCCCAGGACGGCGTCATAGCACAGGAAGACCAAGGGCCCTTAGCCCCGGGGTGGCCTCGGCCAGCTGGGAGAGAGGGGTGGATCCACCAAAGCGGCGAAGCTGCTCCTCTGTAAGACGGGGCTGGCCGCTGCTGGGTGGCGGCCCCACTGCATTGTGAAAGGCGCGGGGTCCCCGACATGCGCAGAACCGAGCCTAGAACTGGGCACGTGATCAACGTGAGGTTCTGCCTTTTCCCCTTCCGGCCTTCGGCCATTAGTTGAGGGGACTTCTAAAAGTTCAAGGAAAATGGAAATGAAGTATGAGGTTATTTTGGTGCCTAAAACTCAAAATTTATGCACAGATTTTTAAATAATATACACTTTTTCCATGAACTTGTGAAAACTCCTGGCAGGAGGAATGGTGGTCCATACTGAGAGAGTGGTGGCCATGAGCACCACAGTGGAGACCCCCTCTGGGATCCCTGAACGGTCCTCATGGACGGCCCCAGTCAATTACAGGAACCGCACAGCTGCGCTTGCAAGTCAGGGGCAGGCGAGGGGAAGGAGCCAAGGAGGCTGGATAGGTGCCCCCCCAGATCTGGGTCACCAGCCCAGCTCTGTCCTGCTGGCTCAGAGAGTTAGGGAAGTGGGGTAACATTATCTCATCCGTAAACTCACAGAGAAGTGTCAAAGCCTCTGGTCCTTAAATCCCTGATTCTGTAAAAAGCAGAGAGCCAAGCCCGGGTAGAAGGGTGGTCTTTATGCTCTGTGAGACCTCAGGTATGGCCTGGAGGTCACCAAGGAGGAGCCGAAGGAAGCCGGTCTTACCAGAACTGAGGTCACCGGGGCTTGCTGTGCTCAGGAACTCGGGCCACGCTCACTTGGCACTGACAGGCTCATTAGGATGATATCCTGTGTTCGGAGCCAGAACCCCTCCAGATGAGGGGGCTTCTGAAAGTTCAAGGAAAATGGAAATGAAGATCTCGGAGGAGAGTCAGCACTAAGCTCTGCTAGCCCAGCGTTTCCCATCAAAGTCTGCCCTTTTTCTCCTCTGTCTGCTGTCTCTCATTCAAGAATGTGTCAATAAATACTCAGCGAGTACCCTGGGCGTACCAAACACAGGGCCAGGCTCGGGGACAGCGCTGTGAGGACGGGCCCAGCTTCTGGAGGCTGTCAGGGAAGAACGCCATCGTGCCTAAACACAAGAGCTGGGGGCAGGCAGGGTGACGCAGTGTCAGCTGAAACCTGAGGGGCAGTGAGAGCGAGTTGGGCAAGAGGGGCTTGAGCAGGTGCTCCCAGCAGTTTCCCTTTTGCGAGGGGAGATTTGAAGTTCTGAGCACATAGCCAAGGGGGTAGGAGAGTGGCGTCACCTCCCAACAGGCTCTTCTGCCCTTGCACACCCCAGTCCCTGACACTGTTTTCTGTGCAGCCATCACATGCGAGCCGCTGCAGCGTCCTGCCCATGGGACCATGGCTTGCTCCCCGTCCTCAGGAGTGTTTCAGCACAGCACCAACTGCAGCTTCCACTGTGCCGAGGGCTTTGTGCTGAGAGGAGCTGACCTGCTTCAGTGTACCGACACGGGGCAGTGGACAGCACCACCGCCAGTCTGCCAAGGTATGTGCAGCCCTGCCTTTCTCTGCACCTCTCAGCCGGAGGGTCAGCACATGCATCTAGTGCTGTCATCGTGTATTTACAAGGCCCTTGACAAGAACCTCCTGAGCGCCAGGCCTGAGCACTAAGCACTGGGGAGGACCTTCTGAGTGCCAGCCCTGAGCACTGAGCCCTGAGCACTGAGCCCTGAGCACTGAGTCCTGAGCACTGAGCCCTGAGCACCGGGGAGGACCTCCTGAGCACCAGCCCGGAGCACTGAGCCCTGAGCACTGAGCACCAGGGAGGATCTCCTGAGTGCCAGCCCTGAGCACTGACCACTGAGCACTGGGAGGGCCTCCTGTGCACCAGCCCTGAGCACTGAGCACTGAGCACTGGGGAGGACCTCCTGTATGCCAGCCCTTAGCATTGAGCACCAGGGAGGACCTCCTGTGCGCCAGGCCTGAGCACTGAGCACCAGGAGGACCTCCTGTATGCCAACCCTGAGCACTGAGCACTGAGTACCAGGAGGACCTCCTGTATGCCAACCCTGAGCACTGAGCACTGAGTACCAGGAGGGCCTCCTGTGCGCCAGCCTTGAGCATTGAGCACTGAGCACCGGGAGGGCCTCCTGTGCACCAGCCCTGAGCATTGAGCACTGAGCACTGGGAGGGCCTCCTGTGCACCAGCCCTGAGCACTGAGCACTGAGCACTGAACACTGGGGAGGACCTCCTGTATGCCAGCCCTTAGCATTGAGCACCAGGGAGGACCTCCTGTGCGCCAGGCCTGAGCACTGACCACTGAGCACCGGGAGGACCTCCTGTGCACCAGCCCTGAGCATTGAGCACTGAGCACCAGAGAGGACCTCCTGTATGCCAACCCTGAGCACTGAGCACCGGGGAGGACCTTCTGTGCGCCATCCCTGAGCCCTGAGCCCTGAGCACCAGGGAGGACCTCCTGTGTGCCAGCCCTGAGCAGTGAGCACTGAGCACCGGGGATGAAATGCCAGCCTCGCCCATCTCAGGAATGGCAGGCTCACCTCAGCATGGTGACCTGTGCTGTAAGGGTTGTGTCCTCAGCACATGTGGGTGGGTGACACGTGAGTGACTAGGGAGTGGGGCCTAGGGGAGTGACACCTGAGAACGGCACGGGACTGTGCTACAGTGGTGGACAGGGCATTTGGCCCAGTGAGCTCTGCGACTCTCTGAGCTCAGTGACCTTGGTAAAGAGGGTCCTTTATCTGCCTTGTCTACCCACTTCATGAGCAGGTGCAAATTAATGTGTGTCCAAACTACTTATTTTTTAAGGGAGAGATTTTTGCTATAGGGTGCATGTGCTCACTGAAGAGACAGAGAGACAGAAAGTGAGAAATCACCCCCCTCTCCAGAGGGGATGGCCACGTCACAATCCCTCCTCCTCCACTCTCCTCTTAGACTTTTGGGTATGTGTGCACACGTGCCTGGTGTGAATTTCAAGTCACTGGGTCTAGAACTCAAACCGTGGTGGACTACATGGGAGTCCAGTGACATAACCATTCTGCTGGTCCCTATAAAACTGACTTTAAAATGGCTATCAGACCCAGCTACAGTGGTACAAGCAATAGACCTCCCACGACAAGAGGCTGGGGCAATGTGGGAGGCCTAGGCTGGGACCTGAGCAATCTGAACAGGCCCGTACAGTGGTGAGCACCTGGCTGATTGGGAAGCTGGGGCAGAAAGCTGCAACATCTCTCTTTCTCCCTCTCTCCTTTCTGCATATGTCTGTTCTCTCACTCTTTCATTAAAAAAAACCCTGCTATCAGATTTGTAACTAAAGGAAAAACAATGATCATGACAATATTACCATATGAATCATTTTTTTAGAGGTTTTTGCTATAGGGCACGTGTGCTCGCCAGAAAGAGAGACAGAGAGACAGAAAGCGAGAAATCACCCCCCAGTGGGGGTTGGCCACGCCGCAATCCCTTCTCCTTCATTCTCCTCTCAGGATCTTGGGCATGCATGCACATGCGCCCAACATGAGTTTAAGCCACCAGGTCTGGGACTCGAACAGCAGTCAACTACATGGGAGTCCAGCGACATAGCCATTACACTAACTGCTGGTCCCACCGTGTGAATCATTTTCAACATTTTGCTCTTAAAGGAGAGCTAAGGCACTAGGACTAGTATTATTTTTTTAAGTGTGGCCTGACAGAAAGTCCTGTTTCAGAGGTGCCATATTGCCATTTGCTGGGCTGCTTGGGTGGCTTACACCAAAGAATGCCCTGATTTTCAAATAAGACAGTGGTTTACAGGCAGCGTCTCAGAGATGTTTGTATACCATGTTCATAGCAGTGTTATGACCGTAGTTAAGACAGGGAAGCAGCCCAGCATCCCTCAATGGATAAACAAAATGTGGCACAGACCCAGAGTGGATATTATCCGGTCTTAAAAGCTAGGGGATTCTGCCACATTTGAAACTCGAGGACGTTATGCTAAATGAAATAAGCCAGACAGAAAAACAAACACTGCATGATTCCCTTTATACACAGTGTGAAGAGAAGCTAGAATCGTAAACACAGAAAGTGGAATGATGGCTGCTAGGGAAGAGGAGGAATGAGAAGGGGGAGGGGGGGGCTTAGTGCTTAATGGCACAGAATTTCAGCCTGAGACGAGTAAGAGGTCCGGGACGGGGGGTGGCGATGGTTGCACTGTATGGGTGTCCTTGGTGCCGCTGAGCTGCACACTTACAGGACTAGTTCTTTCTCACTTTTCCTCCTTTGCTCTCTGTCTCTCTCTGGAGAGCATGCATACCCTCGGGCAAATTTAAATAAAAAAGTAACTACATACATGGTAAATGGTCAATTTATGCTGTATGTATTTTTACTACACTAAAACAATGGAAAAATACAAAGAACAAACGAGGCAGGAGAGGAATAGAGGGCCATGCGTCATACTGGCGAGACTTAGTGAGGGTGATGGGAGTGTTATGGTGTGTCTGGGACACAGAGACACATGCAGCCCTTCGGCAAATATGAAGGGACCCTAAGGGACCGCTTCGGCCTGTCCTGTCTCCTGTCACCCAGGACAGACGCTGGTCAGTCACTCAGGCCCCTGGAGATGCAGTCTCGGTAACTCCCTGGACAGGCCTCCCAGTTCCCACTCCGCACTTCAGGTCCACATGGGTGCGCGGCTGGGGAGAGCCTTGTGCCGGCTGCCGTGGTGCAGCTAGTGCCGGCAGGCACTGCTGCTGCTACGGCCACTCCGGCTGGCGACTTGCTGAGCACCTGTGTGATCTCGCTCAGTCTGTGCACGAGGTACGCGATTGCCACGTAAATGATGAGAGGCAGCCTAACACAGGCAGGGCGCGTGTGCCTCTCCGTACGGGGTCCTCTAGTTCACAGGCGTACATTACAGTGCCTGCTCTCTCACTTACCATTATACACCGAGATGCCTCCTGTGTATTTCCAAGGTGAAATACTTCATTTAAGTGACTCTTTTTTCATCTAGTTTGTTTTGTTTTGCTTTGCCATAGGGTGCAGGGACTCACAGAGAGAGACAGAGAAAAGAAAAGTGAGAAATCATCCCCAAGGGTGATGGCCATGCCATAATCCTTTCTCATCCAGTCTCCTCTTGGGATTTTGAGCATGCACACACATATGCCTGGCATAATTTTCAAGACATCAGATCCGAACTTGAACTGCGGAGTCAGCCATGTGGGATCCAGCACCTTAACTGCCATGCCACCTGCTGGCCCCTTAAGTGATGTTTAATATTCCTTCTATAGATTCACTGTAATTTTTCTCAGCTCCATTTTAGTGGCATTTGTGTTAATTTTCAAGATTTTGCTCTAACAAATAATGTCTTGATGACAATATCTGAATTGCTTTTTACCTTTTTAAAGATTTTTTGCCATAGGGCACATGTCCCTGCAAGAGAGATAGAGAGACAGAGAGAGGAAAAGCGAGAAATCATCTTCCAGCAGGGATAAACACACTGCAATCCCTTCTCCATTTTTCTTTGGGGATTTTGGGCATGCATGCACATGCATATGATGTTATTTTCTAGCTGCTGGGTCTGGGACTGGAACCGTGGTCAGCCGTGTGAGAGTTCAGAGTCTTAACTACCACACCATCTGCTGGCCCCATGATCCCTGTTTTGTGACTAAATGATAGATGTATATGTTTTATATTCCCCATTCTTTTTTCCATTCATTGTATCTAATTTTTAGTTACATTTATGACAATGACAAATAATGCTTTTATAAAGCAAGATTTTCATTTATAAAATTTACAGAAACATATAATAGAAAAATGAAAAACATCCTCATAATTACTCCTATACTAAAACAGATAGTTAGCATTATGAAATGAATTCTTCCAGTATTTCCCCCACTTTATTATACTTTTCCAAAACCCTATGTAGTAAGTATTTCTATGAAGCATATACCATTTAACAATAAAGTTAAAAGAATAAAACCCCAAATATTTCTGCATTATTTGCCATGCCTCCATTTTGTACAGACTTCCAACATCTGAGTGAAAGCAGGCGGAGAGATGTTTTTTACTGAGAGGAAACCACTTGCCCTTCAGGTCACACACAAATGCATGCACGTGCACACGTGCGCGCGCCCATACACACACACACACACACACACACACACACACACATACACACACACCCCACTGGTAAGTTAGGTCAGCTGTAAGTGAATGAATGAACAAACAAAAAGGCACCGCAGGGCTGCAGTCCTTCCTCCCCCGGGACCAGAGCACGGCTGACCGCTGGAGTCAGGGAGTTGGAGTCAGGGGAGGGCCACCTTCCTGTTTGGCATTTATACTGGCTGCTCTGAAGCCCAGATCTATCATGAAGCCCACGCAGCTCTGGGGAAAAACAGGGAGTCTTGAGGGGGTTGCCACCATGATTGGGACCCTTCTGGGCAGGCTTGTGCAGAGTACAGGTTATGGTTGCTCCACACTGCCTGGCCTGCCGGCGTTGCACAGTGAGGAAGTGCTACTCACAGGGCTTCCTGTGACCTTCCAGTTCCCTTCTGCTTTTAGTCCTTTGTTTACTCTCACTGGACTCTCACCCTCTTGCTGGTGCTCATCAAATGCAATGCCCAGGGCGGGGTGGGAAGGAAGGTGCCTCAGCTCGCAATCCACTAGCTGTCGTAATACTTCTGGGCGAAGGCTGTCAATTTCCCTTTCTAACGTCCCCTGAGCCCTCCACGCCCAGCCCTGCTGGCTAAAGGCAAAGCAGAAAGAACTAGAAAGGGGCTCCCCAGCACCGGCACCGGGGTCCTCACACGCAGCCCTCCCCTGACTATCCCTGCAGTGTATAACCTCCTGGGGTCCCTCCCCCACCTCACTGACACCCTGACTCAGGACCGGCCTGATGTGCCAGGGGCTGGAGATGAAGCAGTCAGTTCTGTGGATGATGAGTTCTCATTCTCGTTAATTATCAGAGAGTAACTTACAAGTGGGGGCTGGGGGTCAGCAGAGGTCACTTTGAAGGCTCCAGCTGAAACAATGGGTACCTCGGGAGGAGGGCATTGTTCCAGGGCTGTGAGATCAAAGGTGGCAAGGTCACCAGCCCCCACAGTGGAAGGACAGGGAGCAGGAGTGCTGGGCTCTGCTCCTGATCAAAGGGCCTCGGTTGCCCTTCCATTGTTCAGGCCAGCAGCTGCAGCCTGATCTTAATTACAGGGCAGCAGGTAAGAAGTTCCTCCCAGAAATCCAGCTCAAGGCTGGTACTGAACGGCTTCAGGGCACAGCAGAGAATCACCAGAACACTCACAGGACAGTTCAAGTGGCAGACTCTACTAGGTCTCCGGACAAGTGGGTCAGATCATGGGAGTGCAGCTGGAGCGGGAGAGAGATCGGGGGAGAGAAAGGTGTAGAAAACGCGCTCAGGGGACCAGGTAGCATAATGGCTATGTCGCTGGAATCCCATGTAGTCGACGGTGGTTCGAGTCCCAGACCTGGTGGCATATACTCATGCTGGGCGTGTGTGTGTGTGCCCAAGATCCCGAGAGGAGAATGGAGGAAAAGGGATTGTGGTGTGGCCATCCCACCTGGGGGATGATTTCTCACTTTCTGTCTCCTAGCAAAAACCTCTCCAAAAAAAGAAAAAAAAAAAGTTCTCAGAACCTCGTGACTGGAACACGGTCCCTGGGACCGTCCTGCACTGTGTCTGGTGCTGCTTAGCCAGGTCCCACAGTAAAGCTCACCCTGGACTGTTACTGAGTCTTCACTTTCATGTTTTGCCTGGGCTTTAAGGTTTTATTAACGGGCAGAGGAACATCTAAAAAAAACTTTTTAAAGAGGTTTTTGGCATAGGGCACGCGCACTTGCTGGAGAGAGATAGAGACAGAGAGGGAAAGTGAGGAATCATCTCCCGGGGCCATGGCCATGCCACAATCCCTTGCTTCTACATTCTCCTCCTGGGATCTTGGGCACACACACACACATACACCTGGTGTGATTTTCAAGCCACCAGGTCTGGGACCTGAACTGTGGTCAGCCATGTGGGAGTCGAGTGATGTAACCACTATGCCATCTGCTGTGCTGAAAGCCACATCTCATATAGTGTCTTCATTCATTTTTTTTTTTTTCCAGTTTTGCCATACGGTATGTGCGCTCATCAGAGAGCGATGAGAGGAGAAAAATGAGAAATTCCCCCCTGGGGAGGAGTGGTGGTCATGCTGCAATACCTTTTCCTTCATTCTCCTTCTGGGATTTGGGGCATACATGCACATACACCCGGTGTGTTTATTAGGTCACGGAGTCTAGGGCTCACACTGCACAATTGGCCATGCAGGGCCCAGGCGCCTGAACCACCATGCCAACAGCTGACCCCACTCTTAATCCTTACAAATCCTGAGAGTTATTTCATGCAATTCACCGAATTTTGAAAGTAAAGACACGGAAGGATACATGGCTTGCCAGAAGTCACAGAGCGTGATCTCCAGCCACAGTGGGTCCCCTAGCACCTTGCACACAGTGTATAAGCTGGCAAGGAACGGAGAGACCCACCTAACACTCTTCGGGAGGTGAACACCCGGAGTGGTCTGTGGCTGCTGCCATGGGAGGAGGGAGGAAGAGGGAGAAATTGGCCGTTGGAGACAGAAGTTACTTTGCGTGCCTCCTTTCTGCTGTAATTTTTAAATTAGGGTTTTAAATTTGATCTCTCCATAAGCTTATCAGATAGCTTAGGATAGTTGCTAGGCATGGATTCTACTTTTTCTCATTTAAAAGGTGAGACAACTGAGGCCCCAGAAGTTTGTCTAGAAGTACAAGATTTGGATCCAGATTATTTCTACCAGCTGTGGAGGGAGGGAGGAAGTATCTGATTCCATTTCTTATTTCCAATTGCTTGTCACTGTTTCCCGGTGAGATCATCATGTTTCTGAAGAAGTATCGGGAGGCAGCAGAAATGAGCTGCCTCTCTGTCTACCCCGTGAATCCCCTGTCCAGCCCTCTGTGGCGGCAGCTCAGGATGTACCCTGTCCACTGCTGCCGTCTGACGTCCCCACAGCCCCTGCTGGTGAGGAAGCCCCAGGGAATGACGCTGCCACACGCCGCCCTCGGGTACTGAGAACGCACACACTCTGTGGCTTCAGGGCACCGAGTTCTAAAATGGCCCCTTCTCTTCTCGCCATGCCCACCACAGTCATCACCTGCACACGGCCACTGAGCCCTCGGAATGGGACGATGACCTGTGACCAGCCCCTGGAAGACTCCGATTACAGGTCCACGTGCCACTTCTCCTGTGATGAGGGGTTCTCCTTATCGGGGCCCGAGAGGTTGGACTGCACTCCATCCGGACTCTGGACCAGCTCCCCGCCCACCTGTGAAGGTACACGCATGGTTCTGTCTTTCTTGGGGTTTTTATTTTATTTTATTTTATTTTTGAACAGAATAGTCTTTACTTATAAACAAAACCATACAACATAGGTTTTTTTAAAGCAACAGAAACCTTTCTTACAGTGCAGTTTTCTGTTGGAACCCCTAATCAATAATAGAGAGAAAAGCAGAGCTTTTAGCATGAGGCTGCCTGGGACCTAAGGACTCTGCCCCATGAGCCTTCCTCCTTCACATAGTCACCGTACTTGTCTTTTTTTATTTTCTACCCTAATTCACTATACACCATCACAACACACCAATGAATTTTCCATCCAAAATACACTGTGCATTGGTTCAATCAAGCACATCAACATACATGTTCTCAGCAAGTAATTTTCCAATTCTTACATCCTGCATACCTTGCCCTTTGTCTTGCCATCCCTGATTCCCCATCCCCCACCCTCTGCTATGTCCCATCTTCCTCCTCCATTGTCCCTGGCATCCATGGTTGCCCTCCATGCCTTATGCCCCCCCCATTCAATTGTTCTGCCAATGAGCTTAATTAGTCTAAATATATCCAATAGCTAGCACAGCTGACACATACCTATACAT